TTGTTTGGGTGGGGGGAGGTAGGAGCGTCATGCGTATTGCCAACATGCCCCAAAACACTGGTACTTGTATCGTTTCCGCCTGTTTGTACAACATACTGCGCAAGGAGGTGGAGCAAGACACGTTGTCACAAGCATGTATGCCTTTGGCGACCATGCCAAAAACACTGGTATTTATAGCATTCCTTATATAGGGCCTAAGGGGTACTATAAGGGATCAATAAGGGTGCTATAATATGGGGCCTTAATAATTACCTATACAGCCAATAGACTGCGCAAGGAGTGGAACAAGACGCGTTGTCACAAGCGTGTAAAGCCTTGGCCGGCCTCTGCAGGAAGCGTGAGGCCTGACGAAGTTTCGCTTGGAGTCTGCATGAAAATGCTGTCGCCACCTTGGTCTTAGCACTGTAAACCTCTAAAAATATAGTCTGGTTCAGGGATGTCTGCCCTTTTGCTTGATGCGTTTTTGCTGTAAATAGTGTATTGTTCAAGAGTTTTGGCAATGTGCAACAACAAGCTATATGCAAAAACGCAAGGCGCATTGCAGGCGCCGTTACCTGCTTCTACTGCTACCGCTACTCGACTCTACTGCTGCTGCTACTGCTGCTGCTGCTCATGCTACTTCTACTGCTACTGATACCCCTACTTCTTCTTCTAGATCTACTACAGTTGTCTTTGAGGCGTTGCAGCTCCAATGTCGATTTGATGCTCAAGAGACTGAAAATTTTGCAGCTTCCTGCGCCTGTTGCTGTTCTCCTAGTTAGCCATGAGAAACTTCTGAGCTATATTAGCTCGACTGCGCCACAGCTCCAGTGATGCCACTCTATCCCAGGAAGTCAGATAGTTGACACCTATGCGAGTTGGGAAGCTTTTGCACCCAGACGACCAAAAATCGAGCTCAGGCTCAGATCTCTGACTCCGGGTCTCGGGGCTCAGGATTTGATATCCCAAAGCCTCCAAGGACCCCACCCAAAACTCTACACTTGCGTTCCCCCTAAGCTGCGAAGTCACGGGACATGAGCTCATGATATAGGAGCCTTAATAATTAGAATAGGGTTCTGCGGCCCATTATTCTATATTTACACTAAGGAACTCCCAAAATAGTATAGGTAATTATTAAGGCACCTACACTACGTTAAACCAAGAACACGAAACTCCTAGTCCCGAGCTCTAGTCTTCCAACACGGATTCTCGTGCGCCTCTCGTAAAGCCACAACTGCCCTGCTGACACAAGTCTCGTCGAGTATACTGTAAAGTGACACGGCCCTGGCTTGATTTTTTGGGGTATCCGGGTTTGAACAACAGGTTCGGGTCTACTCTGGGGTGGCCTGAACGACTAGCAATAATATCGCTTATAGTCCCTATGTAAACACAGCAAACCCCAAAACCCTAGTCGAATGACAAGGCCCCTATTTTGCGGTTTCGAGAAGTTGGTGGATCCGATATGCTGCCTCGCGCTTAAGGCTTTTCTTGAATGGTTCCGGGTGGGCTTGTCCGCTGGAGCCTGTTAAAGGCCCCATCCTTTGTCAAAACGGTTGGTTCGTCAGGGTTCACTCACAGCCGCTTCGGAAGGACTCGCGCAACTCGCAACTACACCGCTTCGAAACTCATAGATACACCGCCCAAACCCCCTTGAGCTTGCAACGCGGCAACCTGAGATGCTGCATGGCACGAACCTCATGTACCACGCCCATTCTGCTCCCTAGACCCTAAACCCTAATCCCTATGCCGCACAAAACAAGCAACCCTGAACTCTAAATCCTGTGAGAAGTCCGGCTCGCCTTCTCGATGCTGGTGATCCCTGCGAAACCCCGCACTGAAGTCAAACCCTCCGCGCGAATTCGCTCCTGTTGACCCTGCTCGCCACGGCCAACAACGTACATTGGAGGTTAGGTTTAGGGTCCTGGAATTAGAGCTTGCAGAGTTGTTGTTACATGATTTAGAGTTTAAGGCAAAGGTTAACTTCGCATCTACAGTGTCAACCCAGCGTCAGCCCTCCCATTGAACAGATTTTTGAACAGGGCACACTTGACCTCGAACTACCAACTTTGAGCTGCGATTCCGGGATCTGGGAAGCACAAACACCGACAACAAACCATCCAAATCCAAGCTTGGGGATACAAGCTGGGCTAACGTAGGGGCCTTGATGATTGGAATATGGTGTTGGCTCCTCTCTACTACAAATATAACGAGGAACCCCCAAAATCGAATTGGCAATTAGACTAAGTCCCTATTTTAGCGAGGCAACTCGCCCTGTGTAGAGAGACCGAGCTGATGAATGAAATGGAGAGGAACTGCCCGGGATCTCTCAGGGGCGGGCATCGGCGGGGGCTTCGCGGCTTGGGTCTTTCGGTATGGTCGTGGAGCCTAAGGGCCTAACGTCAAGGCATCTCCTGAAGGGTTTGGGTTCTTGGGGCAAAGGCCCTCTGATATCAACGAAGCATTATAAAAAGAAAACCAACAAACAAAGGATCATTACTAACGTTGCTATTCTACGAATCTGGACTAGAGCACACACTCGACGGTTGCCGAAACGAGGGGTCGTGCAAGCCTTTGCTTGGCTTCGAGCACTAGCGACTCCTTGTGAGCCCTGCAATTGCTGGTTAGAGTGGGCCTTTCGCGCAGGTGTTGCCGAGAGTGTGGGATTGATATAGGGTCTGGGGCTGAGGGCCTAGGAGGTAGGCTGTCATGGAGAGCTGCGAAGGTATTGAGCTTGATTCACGATCTCACTGAAGAGAGGGATCATTCATGGAGTCATGAGTTCAACATGTCGAAGCCCTTGTCAATCAAACACGCGATCAAGGCTTCCTCGGGTGCCGGGGAAGGGTCGAATAGTGTTTCCGGTCTTGCAATTCTTCGCCTCAAGTAACCACTCTTGCGTCGGAACAGTAGAGAACAACCCAACATGAGCCACTTCAATTACCTCTCTTCTCGACGCTGTCAGCTCCAAATGATTCAGGGACCGGTATTTCCCCAGATGCGAGATCGAGCCGCGAACTGCCACGCTTGGTATGCAAACTGTCGGGTATGAACCGGACCTTTAAGAAAATGCGCCATGCATGATGGGACATGGGGAGATTCTCCAGCACCGCAGTCGTGACTTCAAGAGCTAAGGCTTGGGACGATACATCAGCCCATCCGGGACTGGGTGCTACGTAGTAAGTAGTGATTCGTACCATGACAGAAAGCTGTCGTCTTCTACAACACAACGAGCACAGCCTCGCATCCAACGAGGAATCTCCCGATCTCCCATGGACGGGTGTTGCCATGCCGGCTGCGGGTTAGGATGGCTGTAGCCATGAATCAACACTTCAAAAAAAAACGCACGAATACCTGGCTCAGTATTTAGGATTGGGAAGCACTTTGAAGCCTGCATGCGACCGCAGCTCTGCCCGCCCGGGCATGGGGACCCGTCTCTTCGTCTCACAAAAGCAGGCCCCTATATTAATGTCGTCGAGGGAACTGACAAGGGGCACCCAGGTTTGAGACTCATCCAGCGGCATGTGGCTACAGAAAGCCGGCACCAGAGCCGTCACACGCATTCCTCGGAAAACTGGCATTCAGAATCTTGTCGGTTTAGGGTTTATGGTTTAGGGTTCATGGTCTAGGGTCTAGGGTTCAGGGTTTAGGGTTTAGGGTTCATGGTTTGGGGTTTAGGGTTCAGGGTTTAGGGTTTAGGGCTTAGGGTCAATTGATTGGTGAACTCCAGAGAGGACCCGGCTGGCCTGAGATTTGTTCTTGAAACTCATCTTACCTTTGGTTAGTAGGGAATGGAAGAATGGTAGGAATAGTAGTTATAATTGTACCCTATTCCTCCATTCCCTACTAACCAACGGTGAGTATTCTTGAAACTCATTTAGGCTTCACGTGCAAAGCTCTACGTCCTCAGCTCTCTCTGCTCTCTGAACCCTAAGAATCCCTAAACCCTAAACCCTAAACCTTAAACCCTAAACCCCTAAACCCCCAATCACTAAATCCTCTGGACCTTCCCTGCTGGACCCAGAGTTGGAGTCTCAAGCTTTCATCGAACGAAATGTTTCTGAAAAATGGGTCCGAAAATCATCGTTGTTGAAGTATCACTGTGGCAGTCTTGTTCCGATGACTATTAATACTACTACGTTACTAGAACTATTGGTAATACTGCCATTTTTGTTGTTAATATTACCACTACCGTTATTGCTGCTGATACTACTGCTACTGTTGCACTACCACTGCTCCTGCTTCTGCTCCTGCTCCTGCTCTGCTCCTGCTCTGCTCCTGCCACTGCCACTGCCACTGCCACTGCGACTACTACTACTACTACTACTACTACTACTACTACTACTACTACTACTACTACTACTCGACTACCTACTACTACTACTACTACTACTACTACTACTACTACTACTACTACTACTACTCCTGCTACTACTACTACTACTACTATTACTACTCCTGCTGCTGCTGCTACTACTTTTGCTTTGCGTGCACAACCGCTCAAGAGCGACCTATGTGTGAAGCCGGCGATGCTTATGGCATCGGCTCCTCTGGGGAGCGCACAAGGCCGGTTAATGGAACTCGTAGAAACATTTAGCCAAAGAACGACATAGGCGTACATCGGCTATCGGATGAAGATGAAGCGACATCGTGCCGACAGCACCAGACATATCGCTCAGCAGATGGGTGGACCGTCAGTCCCCGACCCCATCCGATGCAGTCAGGAGCAGTGTAATGTGCTGTACAATTGCTACCGCAAGCTGACTTCACGAAAGAACTCGTTGCTTTCACGGACTCGTCTTTACCCGGAGCTCCTGCCAAAAGGGAGACACACCAAGAGCATACAATCATGTAGATCCGGTCCTCATTCTCGATTGATGGCCATGACCTTATGAGCAAGCTGATACAAGGTTTGATTTCGCAGACCCGCCCATCAGCCATCCATGAATGTCGTCACAAACTGCTTGGCATACTTTGTTGCCCGCGCTTCTCACCACGTGTCCCTACGCAGCAATCCGCGATCCTTAGTCAAGAGCAGGGTCAGGCCGAAACCCCAATGAGATCAGCAGCTTCCTGTCATCATCCAGCAGTTTGCCAACATGCTTAACGTGGAACCCGATGAGCACAATTCTCACTCCTGTCCACGGTGATGTAGCATGCCAGCTGCTCGGATTAAAACGCGTAGGAGTGGTTGCCGGCCACATATGCCCCGGATGACCCCCTTGCTGTAAAAGAAATGCACCATTGTCCTGCTGAACCCAGATCTCGCCACCCTCAAATCTCGAGCAAGGAATCACAAGGTTCCAACTCCCTTTGGCGTTGTGACTGTCACGATGCGGTTTGGCACAAACATTCCTTGACAGCGTGCACGAACTGAAGTGAAATTCAGGGTCAACGCTTTGAATGATATGCGATAGCAAGCGACTGACTAAAGGGAATGCCCTCGCATTGCGTGTTATGCCATGCTGCGGTCCTCTGGCCCATGCTCCTGTCATGAAGGATTTGGGATACTCGAACAATTGGCCCTCTTCCTGACGCCAGCGGATTTTATCTTGTGCTGGCAGCAAATCCAAGAGCCTCGCAATCTGATCCCAAGTGACTTCACCCTGCATGAAGCAATGCATCGCTAACGCTTCCGCTGGATCTGAGGGAGCCTGAGCTGAATCATATTCCACCCGAGGGAGAGAAAAGGTAGTTCCCAGCAGAAGCTCTGCGTACTTCCCCTCTTTATCCAGAGGCCTTGAATCCTGATGTTGCAGAGTGCGTCGTAACTTCAGTGGCTGCATACATTGTACTTCTGAGTCCGTATCTGAAATCTCCGTCATGATGACATCGGTCTCGGTCTCCTCGGTTTCCTTCTTCTTTGGGATCCCTGATGCGGACTCCGTCACAACCTGCTCGCTCCGACTGAAGTAGCGATGAATCCCTTGCTTCTGCCCGGATCGCAAGTGATCCCTGCTGCCTCGAAAGTACGCATGTAATCCGTTCATGTCCAGCGCGTGTTCCAAAACCCGATTTTGAGCCGTGATGACTAAGTCCAACACCATGCGAGCTGAAGTTGCACGAAAGGTCACCCTCACATGAGCCTGCAGTGCCGGCACAGACCATCTCAGCTCAGGGCTCGGCACCTTCCACAAACAGTCCTCACATTAAAGACCTTGGGAAGTCATCTCGCCAGCCAGCATTGCCGCACATGCAAACGATTTCTTGAGCAGTAACCCCTTCTTTGGCAGTTCAATTCCAGTGACACATCGCATGTTCATGTTGCTCATCGAGTCAGCTCTGTACTTGAAACATAATGTGAAAAGGCAGGCCGAGTACTGAACCCTGCTCCCATGGCCGGATCACTTATATCAAAGAGTCCGGCTTCCATCCACACGAAACCCCCCAGGGTCACGTGCAGCATTGCCAAAAGAACAAAATCAGCGTCGCACCGTCAGTGCCTAGCACGCTCGTTGTGCTGCTACTACTACTACTACTACTACTACTACTACTACTACTACTACTACTACTACTACTACTACTACTACTACTGCTTGTTTCAGCTCTGACCTGACTCTCGTCAGATGACTGAATCGAATAGTAGTACCTCAACGCCGGAAACATTGGTTCGGTACCAATGCCCCTGACCGGGACTCATAACCATATCCTCACAAGGACTGTGGCAAGTGAGCCGAATCCGAAACCCGAAGCCCTCAAACGAAGTTGCCCAAATCTTGCAACCTAGACAGTTCGAGAGAGGCAATACCTGGGAATGAGATCCGAGATCCCCAGCCAGAAATCAAAAAAGAAACACAAGCATGCGACCAGAGCCTCATGTTCAGAAGCCTCTATGATGCAGTAAGCCAGTAAGATGGTGGTGATGTTGAGAAAAAACGCGGGCTCCCATGACGTGATTTTCTGAAAAAACCTCCGACTAAAACCCCAAGCCCCAAACCTCAAGGCCCGAGACCCGAAAGCCTAAACCCCAAACGGTTTAGGGTTCAAGGGTTTAGGGGTTTGGGGGTTTAGGGTTTAGGGTTTAGGGCCTAAACCTCAAATCCCAACCTCTGGACACGACCAAGGCTCAATGCACTGAAGCCAGGAAAACATCGATCTGCTGCGGCGCTTGTTGCTGGGAGGCGGCATCCTTAGCGGTTTAGGGCTTAGGGTTCAGGGTTTAGGGTCAGGGTTCAGGGTTTAGGGTTTAGGATTCAGGGTTTTGCACTGCCGTTCCTTTTTTTCGTCGCGACTGGTTGGCGAGTTCTTTAGTCTCACTCTTCCGCAAGCCCCCTAAACCCTAAACCCTGAATACTGCTGTTACCAGGTAGCAGCAACATCTGGACCACCTCTGATCGAAAAGCCACAGCTACAGTGTCTAGAATCAAGTCTTCGTCGTAGCAACCTTCCGGCCCTCAAGGCTTAGGGTGTTTGGGTTTTTACAGCTTAGTAAGGCCTAGTGTTTGCAGGATTTCGTGTTCAAGACACACTATACCTAAGCTTTGAAATCAAACCCCTGCGCCGGAACTTTAGGTGACCCTTGTGCTCAGACATGTCTGGATTCTCGGGCTACAGGCGTTCGGGTGCAAGCTTTCAGATTTCATGGGGTTTCGGGAATTCAAGTCTTGGTCCTGGGGCGCTTAGAGTCTCCAATAATCCTGATATGAAACACTCATCTGCTGCTCGGGTGCTCAGTCAGCTCCATCACGAGATTCCCTGAACCTTCATGGCGCTCCGAGGGCACCCAGCCATCAACATCCAGGTCGTCACTGTCCTGTCTGGCCCCTAAACTAGCTCAGAGCCGTACTACAATGGCCTGAACATCTTGAATAGGGCGTTGCACGTACATTATCAGAGTATAAACTATAAACATAAAGTTGTACTTGTATATACATACATACATACATTTACATACATACATGCATCCATACATGCTTGCATGCAAACAAGCATACATACATGTGTAGGTATACAGATATACACATACATTGTCCATACATATACAGAGCGAGAGGGACTGCAGTGGGATATTGTAATAAAAAGCGAATTCAGAGCCGCTACATTAGGTTGAGGACCGCTTCGGATCATCACTCCTTGAAGCTTTTGCTCCTGTGGCCTCGAGACTCGATCCCATTATAGTGTAGACTAGTTTGTTTCGATTCCTACAAAGCTATAAGAGCCCAAAAAATTCAACGGTTGTGCATTGGGGATCTAAGTTCTAGAATATTCTGGCGTATTATCGTAGATTTTGGTGCTTTATGGCATGTTACGGGATGCGAAAGCATGCCATAGCCGAGACCTGGAGAAGCCTCTTGGGCCTAAAACCCGCAGGGTTTAGGGTCTTGGGTTTAGGGCTTGAGGGTTTGAGGGTTGTAGGGTTTTAGGGTTTTAGGGTTGAGGGTTTCGGGCTTTAGGGTTTTAGGGTTGAGGGTTTAGGGTTTTAGGGTTTTTGGGTTTTTGTTAAGGGACTGCACTGGACACTGGTGGGCGCAGCTAGGCCTCGAGACAAAACCTCAACTCGCTGCAAGATGTGCAACATTGAAGCAAGATAGAAACGAGGAGCTTCATTTTCGCACCTCTCCTGGGCCATACTGGTCGCAACCATGAGAATGCGCGCTTTCCAGAACCTCAACCTGAATAGCCCTGACTTAGACGTATACAACAAACCTGGAACATCGTTGAACACTCAACCATGCACTGGCCTGCTCAAGCTCCGCAAGGGATCCGGGCGGCTTGGAAAATGCTGAACAGGCGACGTTGCCCACCTGTAACAGCGGCAGCCATAAAGGCGAAAGACTTTGAGCTATGACAGTCAAAGCTATGACAGGTATGGGAGTCGCTTCTGAACCAACGTCCCAGTAGTCAGAAGCTGGGGGAATTCAGATTATGCGCTGAGACGGTCAGCTGTGCTTAAGGATTATGGTCATGGTGATGGTGGTGATGATGGCGATGACGATGACGGTGATGATCATGGTGATGTTGATGATGATGATGATGAGGATGATGGTGATGATGATGATGGTGCTGATGCTAATTATTTTGATGTTGACGATGGGAAGATTCATGAAGAGGATAAGAGTGACAATGACAAATCTCAATTCACAGTACCCCTTTATAGTACCCGTATGAATGCCTTCTAGAACCCTCATAGAGGCCGAAAAGAAGCCTCATAGAGGCCTTCTAGAACCCTCATAGAGGCCGAAAAGAACCCTCATAGAGGCTTCACAGAAGCCTCATAGAGGCCCCTAAACCCTAAACCCTAAACCCTAAACCGTAGGCCTGTTAGAAACCTCGTCACTCTGCCAGAAAAAGGCCGCCTTCCCCTCCTGGCTTGGGAGATCCGACTCCACCTGGGGCTTGGGACGTCTCCCTTTCGGGTTCCTGTTTCAGGTCCTGGGTTTAGGGTTTAGAATTTAGGGTTTAAGGTTTAGGGTTTAGGGTTAGGTTTAGGGTTTAGGGTTTAAGGTTGAGGGTTTTGGGTGTAAGGTTCAAGGTTTAGAATTTAGAGTTTAGGGTCCTGCAAGGCCTCTATAAGGGTTACTAGAAAGGTTAAACGATTACACGGGGGCTTGCGGCTTTTTAGGTATCAGCACAATCAGGAGTCCTAAGGAATAACATTACTCACTTGTGTATTGGGACTCGTTGGGTTTTGTTGAACAACTCGGCATGCGGCGGATGGGATGATAGTTGAACGTGCCTCATGTGAGCTTCTTAGCACTTCTTCATAAGAAAATCAAACGACCACTTAAGTTCACAAAAGCCCTGTCGGGCTACTTCGCCGAGTCTCAGCACAGGGGGCATCGGGTAGCTCCACATGCCACACTGCCACGTCGACAAATTAAAAAAAAAACACAGATTATGTGTGTGTGTGTGTGTATATATATATATATATGTATACATGTGTGTGCACACAGGTATATAGGTGTATAAACATATACAGATGTACATACATACACACCCGAACGGCTACCAATACTATTCTTAGGGATCTTGACTATAATCATAGCATAATAGACCCCAAGACCCTCATCTAATCATTGAGACCCCACCCCACCCTCCGCCCAACATACTGGCAATGCGTAGACCATGTCATGGAAGCCGAGATACATTGCCGGGAGACGCATCCTGCTCTATCGGGATTTCTGTGCAAAAGTGCAGCAGGAGAGATCAGAAAGAAGCAGCTCCAAGGAGTGCAGAAGCAAGAAGACAAGGATTAGCAAGCGGGTACAGCTGAACCCTAAACCATAAACCCACAAAGTCTTGACCCCAAACCGCCAACAGCATTCAACGTGAGGATTGTTTGGTGTACTTGAGTTGAGCTCTGAAGGACAAGGGTGCAGAGCGTAAGGTTTGCTTGCTTTACGGAACTTGATGGGACGGGTTTGGGTTTCCAGCCACATACCAGGGGCACGGTGCTGTGGTAATATGGGGTTCAGATGTGGCAGGGCATGTTCTGCAAGCAGCTGGGACCAGTTGTAGATGCCGATAATAGGGGGTCCTGAATCCTAAAAGACGACTCCTCCATACAAACTCTAAACGAAAGAACCATTCCCATAGCAGCAATCCCGAACCTTGCACCAAAACCCCCCACATGCCCCAATCCCAACACCTCCCCCAACGTGGGGCGAGACCTGTCCTTGAGTGAGCTCTGCGTGGCGACGGAGCTGGAGCTCTCAGATTGTGGAAGAAATGTAGACTCACTGCTGGAGCTCGCGCCGGACTGCGGAGTCAAACAGCTAGACCTGCTCGGCTGCTATTCAACAACGTTTGATCAACATACGTACATGTGTGTGAATACATGAACATATGTGTGTGTATATATATATACACGTGTAAATCCATCCATCCATTCATCCATCCATCTAACGGTACATAGATGCATATGTACTTGTGTACATGCATGCTTCCACTTGTCTGCTGTTCGCTCTAAGGTTTGAGATTTGGTGGCTTACGATTTCTGGTTTTGTAGGCCTTTGGGATCTGGCGCCTGGCCCGGGGCGGAGCGGGAATAGAAATGTCAGCGGTGCAAACCCGCCTCCTGAACCTTTGGCCCATCCCGCTCTGGGAG